GGGGGCGGTTAATATTTGCCCCGAGATGGGCTTTACCTCACAAGAACGCAATCGATTTTTTTCTTAATCTCACCTCGACAAACTTCCTTTGCCACGCCTCCAAGATGGCGGCTGCCTTCTCCTCATTCCAGTTGATGTCGTGGATCTCGTAGTCGTCTTTGAAGTGCTCGTACAGCTGGCCGGGGCTCATCAGGAGGTACATGGTCTGCAGAGCTTCAGCGCTAAGAAATAAAAGAGATCGCGGTCAGCGGCGGGAGAAGGCGGCAGTCGGATTGTACATCTTTAGCGCGATTATGACATGACCACGCCTCGTACCTCTTCAGCGCTCCGCCTGTTGCTTTCGACATCCCGCCCAGGATGAGATCCTTCTGCCAGTACATAAACTTCTTGGAGAAGCCATGGCAGCCGTTCCGGAGGGTGGCGACGATATCTGGGATCTGGAGGAGGAGAATTCGTAAAATTTAGATATGGGATCAGTGTCGGGCAGAGGGGAAGGCAGAAGAGGCGGCTGCCTTGGGCGTTTAAGCAGGAGGGGCCACAGAAAGGGCAGGACCTGCACCCCATACTGCATAGGTAGGTCATAACTCGTAGGGGGAGGGGCACACTTTGGCCTTTTTGCCTTGGGTGTTCTCCCGCCACTGTGTGCGATTATAATCCACTGACAGCAGTTTATGCACAAACAAGGAACCCCAAAAGGTTCACCACATACTGGGGTACCACCGGGGCTGGGACTGCCAAGTCATGAGGGTCCCCTAATCCGACCGCACCGTCATGTCAGCAAAAATCACCTTTTGTGACTTCTTGTTGGGGGCGCTGTCCGGGCACTCGGAGTCGGTAGGGTCGAGGCACGGCCGGTCCATGTACGCCTGCCCCACTTCCGCCTTGTCCAGCATCTCCTTGAAGCCGTCCAGACTGGTGAACTGTCCGAGTTCCTTCATCAGCTGGATTGGGTCCAAGTTTGTCCACTGGATGTCCCGCCTTCCCCTAAAAAAGAAAAGACGCCATCACCGTTACTTCCACCTCAACGCAGGAAACACAGCCGGAGCATTAGAGTGTAAGCTCCTCTGTACAGAGACTGATGTGACCGGCTCAGTGTTCTCTGTACAGCGCTGCGGTATATGTCAGAGCTATATACATGCATATAAACAGTATGTGACCTTTAAAGGATTAGTTCTCCGGATCCTAGACCTGGCGGATAATGGAGATCCGGGACCGGAGCTGACACGCAGACTGTTTACATTCCAGTTGCGGCATTTAGAGGGAAATTAAGGTGAAAGAAAAAAAAAATGTGATATCAAATCGCTCTTTGTTATTGAGATGCCGCTGCCACCGCCGCTCGCTCCCCTTCACCTCGTGGGCTCCTGGGGGCCGGTTCCCCCCCTTACCCAGCGAGGCGTGCCAGATGCCCGAGAAAAAGAGCATGTATTATCCTGTTACACAGAGGAACAAAGCCGTGTGCTGCCATTACTTCAGCGCGCAGCGCAAGTCAGCCCAATTAACGGCGATTCCGTAACATCTTGATAGAGAGAGGGGAGCTGTGCAAGGCACTCTGGGTAAAGGGAGGCGAGAGCGTGGGGGGCGCTCGGGATGCCTGGGAATAAGACATTATCGGGAGGAAAAGGGGATTCCTACGGATCTGAGGCCGGACTGTCCACATGGGAACAATCTGCCGGGCTACCGGGCTTCAATTATTTAAAGGAGCAGTACACCTAAACCAAACATATACAGTCAGCGATACGTATGTGAAAGCCACAACTGCACCGGACGTATCCGACAGCTGTGATACAATGTATTGCTTTGTGTTAGCTGCCATTGATTAATGCTACATGAGGCTTAAAAGTGACAGTTGGGGCTTACTGGGCAGGAAATCAGCTGTGGGTGGTAAAATTCACCCCCCCCCCCCCCCCCCCTCT